CATTGATTTTGCTGGATTAATAGAAGTTTTTCCCTTCTTTTTTTTTTGGGGTTTTTTTTTTTTTTTTTTTTTGTTTTGTTTTGTTTTGTTTTGTTTTAAGCCACCTTAAGGTAGATGTGAACTCTCATCCTCCTGCCTCCTGCTGTGCAGCATTTTTGGGATGGATACCATGGTTCCAGGGGCAATCCTTGGAGCTGGGAGGCTTTTTGGGTCTCGCTTATGCCTTGGGACAGGTTCCACTGAGAACCAAGGCAGCAGCTGGGATAAAACACCTGGAGTGGGAATTGAGTCTGGTTTGCTTCCTATGGGGCAGCATCCAGAAGGAGCTGAGTGTTTATCCCTCAGCCTTGCTTGGGCTGTGGGATTTTATCCCTGTCCAAGTGTGGCAGCTGGGATTTCTGGCTCTAAATTTGGGGCTGGGGTGTAAATATGGATAGGGGGTGCTGTGTTTGGTGGAGTTTGAGGTGTCAATATGGATAGGGGGTGGTGTGTTCAGAGGAGTTTGGGAACAGCAGAAGGAAAATTTGCTGGGAGCTGGGAGATATTCCCAGCTGTCCCACAGCACTGTCTGTGGGGTTAAACCCCATCCCAGTGTCAAAATGAACACCAGGGCTCCCAGGAACTGGTGGATGGCTCCAGGATCAACATTTCCCTCTCCCTGGGCTGTCCTGCTCCTGCCAGGGACAGGGAACTCTCCCAGGATACTTTTGGCTGCTGTGTGGTGAGGAAGGAGCTGTGGCCATTCCCAAGCCTCCACAGGCTCTGCAGGTGCTGTCCCAGCGCTGGGATTTGCCCAGAGCAGCTGTGGCTGCCCCTGGATCCCTGGCAGTGCCCAAGGCCAGGCTGGATGGGGCTTGGAGGAGCCTGGGATAGTGGGAGGTGTCCCTGCCCATGGGGTGGAACTGGATGAGCTTTAAGCTCCTTCCAGCCCAAACCATTCCATGATTTTATGATTTTCACTGCCTTGAACGTGTGGATTCTCTGCTGTCTCATACCATGGGCGAGCACAGTGCACTTTTCCCAGAGCTGGATCCTCCCAGGATGCTGGATGGAGACATTTTGGCTCCTGTACTCCCAGCAAAACCCCCAGGGACCATTTAGCATCTCCCAAAATAAAGGATGAGCAGAGGCAGAAACATCTCCCAAGCCCAACAGGACCTTGGGAGAGCCCTGAGAGAGAAAATTGAAGCGTGGCAAGGAATTCCCCAGCCCCAGGCTGCTCCAGGTGCCTCTGGAATAACGAGCCCCTTGGAGGGAGCCGCTCTGGTCGTGTTTCTTGTCATGGAAAAGGATTTTTAGGGGTGCAGAAAAAGTGAAGTGAGAGGATGTGCTGATCTGGATGGGATGGGA